TTTCTCAAACAAATTGTTGAAACCTTGATTAGTTGCCATGAAGCCGGCGTTGTACACGAAGATGAGAACATCTTAGTGGAGCTTGAAACGAACAAACTAAAAATTATTGACTTTGGATCAGCCACTTTTCTTAAAGATATATAAAGTAGACACAGATTTTAGTGGTAAGTATGTTTGCAGCCATAGTCACACAGCATTCATGTAAGTCTGTGTTCACTATCTTGAATTCAAATGCTTTTCACCATTCAAAACAGCATGTAAAAACTAGGACATTATTGATTTGTACAACATATTCATTACAACACAATATTTTAACTAGAATTTAAATTTTTTGGTTTATTAATGTTGAAATCCTAACTGATATTATATCTTTACAGCTTATTAGCAGAAACTACTATTAATGATTTTGATTTTCCTTCAGGAACTAGAGTCTACAGTCCCCCAGAATGGATAACATCCCGCCGTTATTTTGCTAGATCTGCGACAGTTTGGTCATTGGGAATATTGCTGTTCAATATGGCTTTTGAACGTGACGATGGAATTTGTAAAGCTGAAGTGTCTTTTCGAGGAACAGTTTCGCAACCATTACAGGACCTCATTAAATAGATGTTTTCAACAAGACCCTCCGATCGCCCAACTTTGGGACAAATCTTGACCCATCCATGGATGCAAGAATAAATTATTGTTATACCTAATGGAGGATTAGAGTTAAAGTTAAATATTATTACAGGAAAGTAGTCGATGATTCCAGGTCAGAGTGCTGGATACTAAACGATGAGTTTGTAGAGCAGATTTACATGTTGACAGAGAAATTAAGACACGACTACACGAGTAAAGTTGACTCTACAGTACTGTTTCGTAAGGTACATGGTGTACCTAACTCATCAGGAGTTAAAGTCCTACATGTACAATACAATTACAATTAATTGTACTACTATAAAGTCATCAATGGTGAGAAAGTACTTGTGAAACACAGTATCATCTCAAATGACACAAAACATGATGGGGTATATCTATTTGATGCTAGAGTTCTCCAAGTTTTTGAAAGCAACAACACAGCCTTCACAAGAATCCACCAGTTCACAGATTGTTGTGCTGCCCAGTATAAAGGATACAAACCTTTCTCAGATATCAGTCACAACAACATACCCATCACATGGAAAATCAGTATGCGATGTTAAAAATGTGTCATTGGGCAGTATTCGCTAGCTAAGAAGTCGTTAATGTTTCCAAAAAATTGTTAACATTTTGTGAAGCTACCATGAGCCATGATTTAAAGATTGTAACAGTATATTGTGATTTAGAAAAAACAAGATCAACATCTATCCGGCAGTTCGTCTATGTAGACAGGTCAACTGTCCAGCGCAATCGACCATGTTCTGATGGTACAAGGTACAAGACAACTACATGCGATTCGCAATAATGGTCAACCCTATTTCACAGATACTGGATAGATGGAGATATGGCTGAATTAAAATTTATGCAGGCGACGAGATTAGGTCTGTATGCTTGGCCAGATAATACCGACATTGCAAGGCAGCCATAGGAATACATTGTTTGTGTTGTCCAACCCCCAGTTTTGATCAATCAACGTGCTCAATTCAGATTTGCAAAATCAGGATAAAATGTTTAAACAGAAAACAAGGTGTGCTGGGTAAAGTTGTTAAGTGATGTTAACTTCATATATACATGTGCTCATGTTTCATTTTTGCAAAACAAGCTCGGTACACATATTTAGAGATTTTGCCCTGTAGTCTCCATAGTAGCTTAACTCAATAACATGCAACCACAATTTCAAGGGTTATTGCATGAATTTTGTTGCCATTTAATCTAGAAGTTACTTACTTAAATTACTCATAACATATTTTTCCACAATGAACAATATGTAAAGTTTTTGCAACACAAAATAAAACTTGTATAAACATGATGTGTTCATTTTCTTTTTTAAATCGTCCCATTTCTTACATCTGCATACATACAAATCCCATTAATTGTCTTCATACATGTATAACTTTTTTTAATATAACAATTGAAATATATTGCCTTGTGATAATGTAGTCTCTGTAGAAGTGAAATGTTCTGAGATTTGCAAGGTTGGAGAGAGTGTTAAAAAAATATCATTGCATATTGTAATTCCAGGACTGCTGTCAATAATGATGCCAAAGTAGTACTTATCTCAGTTTTCGTTATGTCTTCAAATAGTGCATTATGTCATGCTGCGAGACAAATTGCAAACAATCATTTTTTTGGGGGGTCTCTTTTTTTTCAAAGTATATAATAACTTCGAACGTACTGAATGAAAAGGAAATGTTTTATATGCCAACCTAAACCCGAGTTTTTTTGTTCAATTGATTGCACTGAATAAAATTAATCATGTATTATTATAGTTATAATGAAAGTGTGTGTAGTCTCCGTAGTACCACTTTTGAGTCAACTAAATTCTAGATAAAAATAAAACTACACATGATCAACTCATGTTCACAAAATGTCACTGCTACATTGCTGAAATATATATTACTACCAAATCCTATCCTCATTTGCCAAAAAATCAGGGAAAAAACACAATGGGTACACCTGATCTTGCACTGGCCGACTGATTTAATATCATCCATTGAAGACTAGGCCTCTATCATAAGTTTGTATCACAGCAATCAAAATTATGGATTTATTACGTACATTAATAAGTATTCCACATTTTAAAGGCATACATTTTAATTGTGAGATGGATAATCAGTTTATGTTTTTTTCTTTCAGATAAACCAAATATTACAAAACCTTGTTATGCCTGCCAATAAAGCTAAAATAGAAATTTTCATCAGAATGTAGTGGACAGAAATTTACAAGATTTTTAAAGAGAACTGCAATGGAGACTCGGAGGACCACGGAAGAAAGATATTAACGGCTCACATTCAAAAACTTCATGCTTATATAACTAGCAGTGCGGTGAGGAAGGTCTTTCTTCTCTCCCCCCCCCCTCCATTAACCAGATTTAATGTATGGCTACAATTCTCTAATAAATAAATAGGGGGCTTATCCGAGAACTCAGTGAGCAGAGCCGCAAACACCTACAGAAGATGCCAGGCTGATGTTAGCAAATCTGCATTTCCGGATTCTATGTTGGAGGATGGACAGTCTTTAAGTGTCAATCCAGATACAAGAAATACCTCTGATAATATTATTTCACTGCAACATGCAGTCAGAGAAACTACAGGAATGTTATGCCAAAAAGTCCTTGTTTGAAAACCTGATCTGGTCATCTGGATATACTCATGAACATTCATAATTCAAGGAAAGGTGTTACAGACGTCAAACGCAAATGAGGGCCGATCCATATTTCAGATGTAGCATACACATTATTTCTTTTTTTGGAGAAGGAAAGAGTTTCACTGATAAACATGAGTGACTTACAAATACATAAAGATAGGCTCGTTAGTTGGTCATGCAAGTCGTTGTTGAAGGACATGGATAAGTGTTCGAAATTAACTGAAAATCATAACAGGCCCGAAGGACCGATGTCAAATTAAAACTGTAGGTCCTTCTAGCTAACAAACAAATACTAAACGGATAATACAAGCTTGCAATTGCAAAACCTTTATTTACTAATTAATCAGATACATTATCTGCAGCCTCAAAGAGGTCATCATCATTTCTTTCATCGTCACTAAATTCATCAAAATCTTCAGAAAAAACACTGTCATGATCACTGGCCGACTCTGAATCTGACATGCATTTTGCATCGTGTTCACAATCTTACTAACCGACAGCTGACCGTAGGATCCTCGACAAGGCCAGCAATACATCACCTTGTTGTTGTTATCAAAAAGTAACCAGTCTTTGAACTCCGCCTGCCAGCTAACTTGGAATGTGCGTGGTTTACGCCTAGACCATTCGTATTCTTGCTGTTTGTCACGCCTTTCTTGTGTAGTTTTCACACGTTTAGCAGCAGGCTCCTGGCAGTTTAAATATCGCCACATACTTCGATGTGGACGTAACTCTGCAACTATTGATACCAGCGTGTTCGATGCAAATCAAAGATGGCGGAACATAAAATGTAAGCGCGAATTCTATTGGTTTGAATCAGAGGCTTGATCGGCCTACAACCAATCAGATCGTTTGTTACAGTTCTCACGTTCGGCGCATTTCGCGATCATTCGGCGAGCTTGAATTATGACTCGTATGCCCAGGTCGATGAGTGATGCCATTTGTTGATCAAATGTGCAAGAAAACGCAATTTTGAAACAATTCTGGAGTTACTATCAATATTTATTATATATTTGGTCTTACAATCATACTAAATAGTGGAACGTTTTTTTAAATATAAATTTATGGTCGGTCACAAGGACTGATGGTTTTTTACAGCTCTAGGCCCTTTACACCCACTCTCGGCGTGAGGCCGACGGACCGACGTTAATTTCGAACACTGCATGGATTGCAGGCAGTTGTTCTCAGTATTGCTAATGTAGGTGAAGAAGAGGCAAAACAATTGTGCACGAGATGTAAGTGATGTTGGTGCAGAGCAATATCAGACGTGATATGCAACTAAAGAAGACAGAAGCTCGTCGGAAGAAAATAATGCACAGAAAGAAGCAGAAAAGGTGGACAAGATCTAATGAAAGATGGAATATTTTCTGACATGGAAGGCTTCAAACAAAAGTAGCAGAAAATCCAAATTACTGGAGTAACAATATTATGGCATATAGATCTTTACATTCACCACTTGTTGCTCCTTAGTTCGATGGGTTCTGAAAGTCTGCAAAGGCAATTTGTAATTCATTAATATTATATAACATTTGTTTGTTCAATACTTGTTCTGCTAGATAGTTTCGCATTCGGGTCGATGGAGTTAATTGAAAATGCTCTGACGTCCAAATTTGTAGTGTAGTGGGGTAGGCTGTGAGATTCTTGGTCAAACTTCCATAAAATCCTTCCATCACCATTTCGCAATGCGCGCGACGTTTTCCCCGTAAGACAGCGTTTTTCAAATTTTTTCAGGTTGTGCTGAATAAAGACAAGAAATACAAAAATGGCTCTTTTATGTTCGGTTGAAGAATTTTGATTTACTCAGTGTTTTTATAATGTTAAAATAAATACAATTTCATTAGAACTGATAAATTATTTTCCAAATTCAGTTAACATACCCAAGGATCTATCTACATCACCATCAATTCTCATGTAAATAGGTTTGGTATAATGAAACGCTCAAGAACTGGATCTTTGCCATTGAAATGTTACTGTACAATTGAACGATTTGCTTGTCCTCCATCCACACAGCATATGTAGTGCGCTTTTTTAAGCCATTTAATAGCATCTCAAAACAATGCATACAGCAGAGTTACTGGATCAAACTCTCTAGTAGGCAAATGGGCAGCGAAAACCAGTATCTCCTAGGAAAACCATCTGTAATACATGTGATGCAGTCACAGCTTTATCCGTCCCTGCAATATTGTAAAGAATAATAAGTAAATACTTTCTGAGGGCAAAAATGCATTAAAATCACACATCCTGTACACATATAAGCCACCCCACCACCACAATCACCACCACAATCACCCCACCCATCTACCTGCTATTAAAGTCTGCATGTTATCATGCTATTGTCCAAGAGT